TCCCAGGCTGGTGGGGGAAGGGTGGAGAAAGCTCACTGGAGTTCCTGAAGCTTTTTGTGGTTCAGCCCAGCTTCCACAAGGGTGCAGGGCTGCAGGTCATGGCCACTGAGGCTCCAGAAGTTTCTCTGGACCCAGCCTGGTTCCCACACCAGCAGGAAAGTGGTGAGAGTGGAGTCCCAGAGGCTGCTGACTCAGTCCAGACTTCAGCTCGCCTCCTGTGGCAGTGCAGGTCATGCTGCAAGTGACCACTGAGGCCCCAGAAGGTGTCTGGGGCTCCACCTGCCTCACATGCTAGTAGGGGAGGTGTAGGGGCAGCTCAGTAGGGATTCCTGAAGTTGTCCAGGGGACAGCCCAGCTCCTGCTTTCATTCAGGTCATCTAACAACATGCTCTACTCTGACAGTGGAGGAGCCAAGAAGCAGAGTTTGTGAGAATCTTTCCTAATCATAGCAGATAGTTAGGGCTATGGTTAGACTTACAGCCAGGGCTGAGTTTTCTCATGTCCTCTCTCCTTATTCTGTCTACCATGGTCTTGTCCCCATACTGACCATATCACTGCTGAAAAGTTACACAATAGTATCAGTCATTATATTTCATGATGTACAAAGTACTATCTCTTGTGCTAGGTTTTTAAAAATCTTTATTATATACAAAACATCCTGAAGAAAGTAGCAGACTCTGAATAAATAAAAGGTTGTGTGGCAATATTTGTATGTATTCCAATATATAGTGAAAGAATTTAATGTGGTTTTTTTTTTTTTTTTTGGTACTGGGAATCCAACTCAGGACCTTGCGCTTGCCAGGCAGGTACTTGTGCTGCTGAGCAATATCCCAGGCCCTAAGAATTTAAAATGTACAGTTATAGTTGGCATTCTTTATCTTTTCCTCATGTCAGACTCAAGTTATTTTTTAATCTATTAGCCCATCTGGAATTTTATGTTTGTTCAGAGGAAAAGAAATCAATAGCTTTTCCTAGTAGACCTTTACAGAGTGATCAGATTGTAGTTTTGATATTGTACATTTTACTTTCCCTCACCATTTTTATAGGTAGATTATTTTTATGGCTTAATGGTTCTTTAATAGGCTGTAAACACTTATATATTTCTCTATAACAAAACAAAAGAAGCATGCCAGTTCTAAAAGTCTCAGAACCAAGCCTTTGATTAAATATTTTAGTAATAATAAAAATCTGTGAGTCATTAGAAGAGTTAAATATTGTGGCTGTCATTTTGAAATGTTTTTGACTTGTGTTCCATACCAATATAATGGGTTTCTTTGATAATCACTTTGGGAAAACAAGACTTACCAAAAATTTGGCTTGAATAGATCAGTGAGACTTTGTACACATTGTTCTGGGTAAAATTCTTACAGAGTTCTCCTTTTTCTTGCTGTAATTGACTATCAAATTTGTTTCAAAAATCATCCTTATAGTGCATCTTATTAAAAGATTGATTTTACCTACGGTTATCATACTGTGCTTTTTTTTTTTTTTTTTTGTACTTTAAAAGGACCTCTGGTTCTATTTCTTTATTATGAGTGGTAAAATGTGAACCAGATGCAAAAACTGCTGAGGTGGAACTTCTTATAGTCCATTTAGAGCCTCCATCAATTCTCCACTGTGCAGCAATATTATCAGTAGCTACTTTAGACAGTGAATAAGAGCATCTTATTGTTTGCTAGTAAGTTTTAGAATCATTCCTTCAGGAATTTGCTGACTTGTGGTGTGTGCCTACATGTGTTCCCCAAAACTATAAATCTTGGGGAGCAGATGATAGAGTAGCAACTTACATATCTTTGTGAAATTAATAGATGTTTTTTTCTCTCTCTCCTTCTGAAAGCTATAGAAATACATGTGCTGAATTGTGGCAGAATTTCAGATGAACTGCTTCAGCATTAATTTCAGTTTACTAGTCTGCAAAGCATTTGTAGAAGGCTGGTAGTAATTATATCTGTTTTGAAATACCATATACCTGGATGTGTCCTGAAAGAAGTAGGGCAAAAGCCCAGGCTGCAGGCTGATTCTGTGTAACTGTGAGTGTCTCCAGTTGGGCAGCTGTCTGCTCTGTGAATGTATATTAGGGCTTCTGCCACCTGGAACTCAAGAGAGGGGTCTCGGTGCTCTTCTGGCCAGCATACCCAAAGCACTCGCTCATTCCTTTTTCAAACATTACTCTATAAAATTAAGTAATATCAACAGGACCCCCTCCTTGTCCCTACATCTCTATTTCTCCCATTTCTTCCTGCCCCTTTCTTTCCTCTATCCCTTCTTCCCTTCATAAATAACAATAATGTATCAACATGATGTTACTTCATTGATACTCTGGAAAAGTACTTTCAAGAACTAGAACTCAATTGACATTTTAATTTTGTCCCTTCCTGTTGTTTAGAATTCAGTCAGACGTAAGGACCTTGCATAACACATTTGGAATATTTGTATATGCTACTTGGTTCTGCATGACACCCTCATAATTTGGGATTTGTCTATATAAATCAGCTTGAATTTGATAATATCCTGTCAATTAAACTGAACCTTGTTTTCCAAGCCAAATGTCAAAAAAGCCTTTGGCACTGGCCAAAAACCACAAACAAGCAAAAACCCAAAGCAACAACAACAAAATCCAGGCCTACTGGCTGAAGTTTGGGTAGTTAGGTGTGCAATTACTTGATTTATACATGTGTGTTTCTGAAATTACAGCTGCAAGGCTTTGTGGTCTCTCCGGGGGTGTGAACGGTTTTGCTGGCAAGCCCGTTATACTATACTTTGGAAATTTGGCTCCAAACATAAATTCCCCTCCCATCACTGAAGGAGAACAAAGTCTATTTGTCACTTTTCCATTTGCCTCCCATAATGATTCAGAAAGAGAACACTTTTATTTTGCTGCTGTAATTGGGAATTGCTGATTCATCTCACAAGTCCAATCATCTTTGCTTTTCATTATACAAATACGTGCTAATGATCCTGTGGATGTGGTACAAGTTGGCACAGGAAGACAGGCTTTTCATCCCCATTACTGACTCGGCTACTTGTAAATTTGCTTGAGGGAACACATTTCTTTCCACAAAACTCTCTTTTCTTCAATGGAAGGTTTTGAAACTGAGGTATTCATTCAAAAGAAGGTTCTGTTATTCCTTTGGTTTTGCAGTTATTTAAAAACAATGCCTGCCTTGAAGTTCCATGTATACTTTTAACCTTTTGGCTCAGTTGTAGAAAAGCTTATTACTGAAAGCAGACTCAATCACTTACAATAGTACGATACTCTAGAGACCTTATCATCTCACACAGTGGTTGAGTAATTAAACGCAGGGTAGATTTACAGTTCAGTGGACTTGCTTGTGGTGGGGCAGCCACCATAGCCTTTCTCCCTTTTGAATCTTTTAACTTCACACAGCAACTTTGTATCAGGGCGACTGGAAAATGTGAAATCAAATATTAAAGAGCAAATGCAGACTTTAAAGGGGGTGACATATTGGGAGAAAAAAAAGAGACAAGGACATTGAAGGGTTCTGCTGTCCAAGCAAAGGAAAATTATTCTAACTTGTGTAACTTTGCAGCTTTGTTAATATTAGAAGATGTAGCTATTATTAGATTGCCTTTTATGAGGAAATTAAACAAGGTCATTTCAGTAACACTTAGAAAACTTACACTTTCTGCAAAACCCTTATTTCCTCAAGGGGCTAATAGCAGCTCAACATGGATAGAAAAACCACTCCTTTCATCTATTTTCAGAATAGTTACCTAGAATCATAATGACTGGAGATTGAAAAGGCCTATTCAGCTCTCCCCTACAGCCTCCAGGGATCTGGGCAGCATTTTTCTCAAACTAAAGTACATTTTCCACTATTTTCTATGGTTTTATTTTAATGGTCTCAGAGCTTTCTCTGCTTCCATGGAAAATGCATTCCAGACACTATCCAATCTCATCATGAAATTACTTTCTTACCAGAAATTAAAAGATGTCCCTGTATTTAAAAAAAAAAAACCCTTACATTTTTAAAACATAAATGCAGGCAGAGAGATTGAGTGTGTTCATTCATCTCACAGTTAGAACTGGAGAAATACTCTGTTTTGTGCCACACTGACAGCATAAAAATTTTTTAAAATTACTTTTTAAAATAATGTGTATATTTCAGTACTTCATTACGTGTGTGTGTGCGCGTGTGCGTGCACGCGTGTGTGTGCGTGCACATGTGGTATAACTCTATTTTGATCCAATATGACTAAAGAAGTATGGATAGGTCAGAGAGCAGAGACTCATTTGCCATTTTTACTCATGAACTCAAGAATCTCCTCGGTTTCTATCATCTTAAATATTCCCTCTTTGGCATTGCCACTGGTATTTTTTTTTTAATTATACAAGAAAAACCAAACTACTAGTCCATTTTTGTTTGAAGAACATCTTTTTAGTCTATCCCATCCTTTTTTTGAAAAGTTACTCTTATATTTTACAAAAGAAATTAGGCAGCATTTCTTTCCTTCGTAAGAGACAAGTAGAACATTTTGCATTTGGTTTACAACTACAGTACTATACACACATCAGCTGCTACAAATCATTTTTATGAATAAGTTATAAATACTACAAATGAATAAATACTTATACAGAATATTCATATCATAGCTTGTTAACATGTTTGATTTATCATTGCTGATGAAACAACCATTTATATCTTCTGAAAAAAATTAAATCAAATTTGAATCTTGATTTTGCTTAGTATTTATTCACTCATTCAAGCAAAACTTTGATAAAAATTTACTACATGTTAATTACTGTGGTAAATGCTCAGGATTTTAGGGTGAATAAAATGAATTTCCAGTCCCTGGGGAATTTATTTTTAAATGGTAGGGGACAGAACAGATAGAAATAAGTAAATATGTAGTCTGTTGATTGGGGATGCATGCTTCATGGAAAGAATTTAGTAGGAGATGGGGAGAGGTCATCCAAGAGGCTGCATGCACAGGTTGGTGGAATCGCATGTCTTGTGCTGTGTATGTTCATGTTGCAGGAAGGTTGCTGTTTGCACACCAGCACTTAAAAGGACAATGTAACCGTAAGAGAACAAGACCCAAACAAGGACTGAGTCCCACTCTGCAGATCTTCAAGAGCATTCAATATGGAAGTGTTAGATGCTGCTGATATTCAGGTTAAGTCATATGATAACTGATTATTGGATTTAACAAAAGGGAACTCATTGGTTATCTGCATAGAATGTTTAAGTTGAAATAGGTTCAGAGGTTTAAATTGAAGTAGGATTAGAGGTCTAATGGTTCTAAGGAAAGTGGAAAGAAAAATTGGAGACCTTATATTAAATAATATTCATAGGATTTTTCTTCCAGAAGGAATATAATAAAGTAGTAGCTGGAAGCATTGTAGAATAATAATGTCGCTAATTTTTGTTTAGCTTTGGAAGAAAGAGTAGGCTATTTGTAAATTGATATGTGTATGAGGATGGGGAAGGCTGTGGGAGATGAAAATTCCCAGAACAGTACCTTGTGTTTGGCAGTAGGGACATGAGATGGAATCTGGAAGGTAACATGCAGTTGAACCTAGAACCTCCCGAATCGAAGTCAGATGCTCTTGAGAACAACTATGTGATAATAGAAATGATTTGGTAGAGTGTGAAAAAATTCTGAAAGAGGAGGAGATGGAAAGACACTGAAGGGACAATCACAGGGTCTTAGAGTAGTAGAGGGATTGAAGTCTGCTGTACAGTGGAGAGACTGGCTTCAGTTTGAGCCGAATATTTATCTATAGCAACAAGAAAGAAGGCAGAAGGTACGGGGAGAGCTGTGTTTAGGTGGAGATGGGGTTGTAGAATTGATGAAAGTTAAAAGGTGTAGTGTTTGGAAAATAAGTCAGGAGTTAGTAATCTGGGAGACTGGAAGGGGGAATAGAGCAGGCAAATGCAATAGGACTGAATTAGTGGCAATGACTGCAAAGTAAGTCCAACCAGGGTTGCTTTGTTTTATCCCATATACTTAGTTAAAAAGCCAAGAACAACATATGTGATCAGTTTCATTTCACTAAAATTGAAATTTTTCTGGGAATTGTTTTAGCAGGGGAATGGACTTGTGTTTGGAAATGATGATGTTGTCTCAGCATGAAATTTAAACTGGACCTGGAGGAATATGAAGGCATGGCGATAGGTGAGGAAAAGCTGAAAACTGTTAGGATCAGAATCTCAGTGGGGTAAGAAATAGTGGGGATCAGAGTCCTGAGAGAGGGAGCAAGATCCAGACACACAGCTGGTCAGAGACTGGGAATCTCAGAATAATTTTCTGTATGAAGGATTTTCCTAAGAAGAAAAACTTGGTTGTAACCACGGATATTGATCACACCACTTTTTCTTGTTTTGTGATATCACAATTCCATCTTTATGCCTATCCCTTAGTAAAATAAACATCAGAAAAGACCTTACTTCTGCCACCTCATGTGGACAACTAGAAACTTTATATAATGATTCATGGTTAAGAGGTCTTCTCGCATACGAATTCCTGTTTAGTCCTCACAAAATTGCTGTGTGCATATTTTATAGAAAAATGCAATTGAGTCTGGAGGATGTTTGGAAAGCTGTAAAGTTGCACAATGACTGACTCCAACTCTAGAGGCACAGTTGATTCCACAATTAATTATGTCAGAATGCACATACACAGGCACAAGCACACACACCATTTTCAGAAAAGAAAAGTTCAATCTATGGAAATTGCTTTTGCAAATTAATGGTATTTCCTTTGCCTTTCTGTGTCTACTTTCCCCAACCTTTCCCCTTTTCTCAGGTCATTACATTCTCTCCCAACAGACAGAATAATCTTTAAGACAAGCAAGGTTATAATGTAACTTGCCTCTTTGCAACTTCTTTAACAGCTTTCCTGTAGTTTTAGAATTAATCAGAACTCTGTAATCTGGTCTACAGTACCTAGTCTGATATGGTCTCACACTATCTTTCATTTCCTCCCATAGCACCAGCATCTAGTCCAGTACCTGGAATAGAGTAGTAACTACTATTTAGGTAGTATATGGCCCAACCTTCATTACAGGTGCTGTGTATCTGCAATGTATTATGATCTATTATTACTGAAATAACTTTCTCTCTCCCTATTTCTCTCTGTATCTATAGACTTCAATTTCACAACCCATCAAGTGTGTATCATTATTATTTTCATTTCACTAATTAAAAAGCTGTAGTATATGGATACGGAGAAACTTGTCTGAACTTTCATGGCTGTCCTGTAACAGAGATGGGATTCCAGCCATTTAGCCTGGCTCCATTGCCTGTATGACATGCAGCATCTTTGTTTCATAGAATAGAAATGAGAATGAAGTAACAGTGAATGAAAACATTGTCCTCTCTATGGACATTCTATGCAGATTCTACTACGTGTCCATGTTTCAGTGAGAGATGTTTCATCTCTTGCTGCTCAAACTTTTGCTGTTGAAAATTTTCACTAAAAGACAGAAGGCTTGCTTTTATAAATAAATACTTCATCCCCTGAACATTTTTCTCTTCAGTAGTTAGTGCTGATAAATAAAATATAAATTCATAGTCTTTAATGTGAAATAAATATTTTTTGACATTATGACTCAAAAGAAAAGAAAATGTATTAGTTTAATTTACTAATGCTGGGACAAAATAGCTGATAACACTTAAAGGAGAAGAAATTTAATTTAGCTCATGGTTGCAGGGGATTCAGTCCATGGTAAACTGACTCTGAGGTGGAAATATCAGGGCAGACCAAAGTTGCTTAGTTCATGGTGCCTGGGAAGCAAAGCCCAAGAGAAAAGAAATGGAGAGGAAGGGATGAGACCAGATGTGGACTCCAAAAGTTTTCATAATCCATACAGACAAACCTAGAAGTGTGCTGATTCTCTAGGAGACTTCCAAGCCAATCAAGTAGAGAAACTTAACCATCCCAAGTAATTTGTCTGAAGAACGTTTACAAATGCTTGGGTTCTTGTCATTCTCTTTGTAGTGGAGAGAGGTAAGTCATGACTTAAAATTAAACAGTTACCAGCAGAACTACATGACCAAAGTCAGCTATTAAGAGATATTTAACCAGAAATATTAAAATATTAAATCAATTGAGATCACCACTTTTTGCATACATGATCTCAAATAATTAACATTATTGACTCCCTTATCAAAAGCATGATTTTTATTTTACAGTGAAAACAGAGAACTTCAGACATTTTGAAAACCGAGGAAGTGGAGGTAAACTTGTGCTACAGTGACTTGTTCTTCGTAGAAGTTTCTTCTACTATAACGGGGATGAGTAACATCTCACATGGATTTACTTATCCTTTATCATAGGTTGCTAACTATTTTTGAACAACTGTTTACAGCCAACTCTTACTACTACGGATTTTAAAAAAATCTTCTAATTTCTGCTTACTAGACATCAGTCTCACTTTTGCCCTTTTGACTGACATGGACCTTGAACCTCTCCACTGCCAAGCAGATGGCTGCTCCTACTGTGCTTGAGGATTAGTATGCTTCTGGTTCTGTGTTTTCCTAGACTCGTGAACATCTCTCTGACTAAGATATTGAGCCCAGGTATATTTCCATACTCCAGCCTCCCCTCTTTTCTGCTCTTACTCATGGTCAGTTGTGGCATATAGTGTAGAACACAACATTCAGTATGAAGTCTGACAGCTGTTGTTTTACATACTGCATGTACACTAACAAAACGTTGTTAAACTCTTATTTATTTGTTCAGCATTTGCTTTTTATCTATTTTGGCTCACATTGAATTTATGATAAACTAAATCTAAATCTGCCTCTAAATCTACATCATATGTCAGCAAATTTGAAATATGACATTGCTGCTATTTTTCTGTTTCCACACTTTCATAATTTCTCTTGTAAATTTCTTTCCCTGAACTTAAGGGTTATTGAAAAGCATTCCCTTCTATACATTAATTGTTTAGGCCTTCTGCTTATTATTAATTGATAATTGTGTTACTTTATGATAAAATCTATATGATACTGACTCTTCATAATTTATTGTGACCTTGTTTATGACCTTGTGCAAGACTAAGTTTTAGAAATTTTCTAATTTTGCTCAAAGAATAGATATAAATATGTCAGATATATATGAGAAATTTACTTGCTTTACTGGATTGTTTGATTTCAGAGTAATTATTAGTTAATAATATCCAATTATGTTAAGTATTTGAGATTATATATGCTAAAAGTGGTGATCTCAACTGATTTAATATTTTAATATTAGGCTGGGATGTGGCACAATGGTAGAGCTATTACCATACATGCACAAGGACCTGGGTTCAATCCCCAGCACCACACACACACACACAAAACATCCAACTATAATTATTGATTTATACATTGCCTGTGTGATTCTGCCAGTAGTTACATAAAATTTCAGTGGTGTTTTATATAAGATTCATGTCAGTTATACATAACCAGAATATAATATGTCCATTTTTTTTCTCCTGACTATTTTTACTTTTTACTTATTTTGTCTGATTTTGGCTTTCTTTGGTCTGTGTTTGTTTTAATAATTTTTTGCATTTCTCTCTTTTCAAACTTCATGTGTTTCACTCTTTAATATTTTAGAAACATCCATCAGAAGGTCTTTTTGATCATAGTCATCTTCATTTTTTATAATTACTATTAGATTGGGATATACTTCTGACGTAATTTTTTTTCCATTTGTCAAAAGAATTTTTGTTTTCCATTTGAAACCTTCCTACTTTCCTAATATCTATTGATTATAGTGTGTTTACTTCTGCTGGCTTGAAAAATTGTTTTCCTTTTATTAGAATATATGCTAGAGCTTAAATTTTCTAATCATTTTAAAGGTAATAAATATCTATAAATTCTATTTTTATAAATTAAGCAAGTCCTCTATGTGATATAGTTTTAATTCTTGATATTATAGACATTTTATTCCTTTTCAGATATTTCTTTTTCTTGTGGTCATTGCTGTTCTGAAGAATAAATTGTTTCCCCAGGATATTTATTCACTTTTAATTTTCTTATGTTTGTAGCACCTCCTGAATATATTTTTGGACATGCTGCAGAACATGTCAAAGTGACTTTTGCATGATAAGCCTTTGACATCTTATGTGTTTGACAAGATTTTTTTTCACACCCAGAGTTAAATAAAACATTTAGTTGGAAATTGAGTTCTGGCTTAATGTATTTTCTTTCCACACTTTGAAAATGTAACTCCTGATCTTCTTAAATATGATGTCCTTGAGAATTTTAATACCAATTTGATTCTAACTCCTCTACAAGTGACTGGATTTTCCTTTCTTCAATCTCAATACTTTTATAGTTTTTTTTTTTCATTCTTTCTTGATATTTTGGGAGGAATCTTTTTAACCTGGTTGTGGTAAATACTATTAGTGACTTACCCAACAGGTGTTTCCTCTTCTTTCTTATTTACTTTGTATGATAACATATTCAGATCCCTGGAATATATCAATATCAATTTAAGGCAATCAACAAAGTTCACTTGATATTGAGTATCTGAGAATGATTATGAGGTTCCAAGAATGTGCTCTGTACATCAAGGCTCAGGGTGTTTCCTGAGACCAGAAGAACAAACAGCCACATGAGTGATACTGTCCTCTTGGCTTCACTGCACATGGAGCCTTGGAGTCCAGATTAGATTTGTGTTAGGACAATACACTGCTGGATTTTGTATTGTATGCGTTGTGTCAGCATGTATTTTGTCCTCATTATGAACATGTTTGTATTTATTATTTTATTATTTCTTTCTGGCTATGAAGATATTGGGGCATTTGAAGTTACCTTTTTTATTATACTACACACTTTATGCACATAGTGTGATGATAATTTTGTATGATGCTTTTACTGTCTTTGAATTTGAGTTGAAACCTGTCATATGAGGTTATATGTGGAGTTTTCCAGTTGTGGTGTTATATGCACATTCAAAAAATTTCAGATTTTGGAACTTTTTGATTTTTGAATTTTCAGATGGTGGTTGTTCAACCTTTAATGATAATCATTCCTACTATTTATTCAACTACTATTAATTATTATTGTAAATGAATGCAAAGGTAAAACTCTTTTGGCCCTAAAGATCTATTCTCCTAGCTATGCTGTTGTAGTTTCTAGTTGTCCAGCTTGGATACTTACTGCCTTCATTTACTAAGCAACCTTTGCTGGTGCCCAGATTCAGCCTCTGAGAGACCAGTATCTAGATATTTCTATTAGCTGGATGTCGTTTCATCTCTGATGAATTGGATTACTTGCATAATTTAGTCAATATCCTTGGCTATTGGCCCACTCTAATTTTGGTTCACCTGCTTCTTGTTTCATTTTGTTCTACTTTATCATCTCCCTTTTGCCATCCTGATATTGTCATCCTAGGTGTCTCAAAACTGAGATGCCATGCTCCTGGGAACACAGTTGTATATCAAAATAGTGCCTGTTTTCAAAGGGATAATAATTCAAGAAAGAGATAAACAAACAGGTAGTTAGTTACAATATAACCTTAAATGTCCTGGTATAGGTAGAACAACAAAAGGCTCTAGATGTGAAGGAATATAAGAAATTTCTTTCCTTAGAAAAGCTGAGAATTAATTAATAGAAGTGGTGTCATATCAACTGAGCCATAAACATTCAGTGTTTTCATTCCAGGAGAGAAAATGCCATGTACAAATATGGAAATTGGACTATGAAAAAGCATGATATAGTTGAAGGACTTGGGGTGCAATTCATCGGCACCGTTTTTGAGAAGTTGTGTTATGGATGTAACAGGGTGAGATATTGAGAATTTAAAGCATAGAAGGCACCAAAACAACCATGTTATTTACTTTCTCCTGCCTCTGAAAGTGTGGGTTTCATCTCTGGGGAAAGAGGACACTAGCATACAGCATTTCTTCAGATTGAATTCTTTTCCTTTCAGAATAGATAAACTAACTCTTTCTAGTTTGAGAGTCTCGAATCTCATTTTTGGAGTCAAGTCAGTTTTCCTGTATGCTCAGTGTTTAATGGAAATCACCAAGAGAGAAATTCTTTTTACGTGGATTAAAAGAGAGAGAGAAGCTAGTATTAATGATAATAAAATTTCACTAGAGAAGAAAAGATGGGAGCTAGCTAACAGTGTGCATTAGTGGGGGAATCAGAGAATCAAAAACTTATTTGAATGCAGCACCTCTGTTGTGGAGTGGTAGAAACGGATGCTAGGTGGCCCCTGGCAGTGTCTGCAAAGATGAGGAAGGATGGGCAATAGTAGCAGTAAGCTCTGAGAGGCGCTGCTTGCTGGCGCAGTGCAACAGAATGGGTCATGACGTCAATAATAAATAGCGTTCACTGTAGCTCAATGCAATCTGCCATTTTCCCTGTACCAAAGAAGGTAAGGGAAGGGAAAGCAGTATGACCAGTTGTGCTCTTGCTAAAAGTGGCAGGCAGTCTTGGAGTCTAGATTAGATTTGCTTTCAGAAAATTTAAGAAATGCATATATATTTACATTTTTGTGTCACTGACCCCTTCATCTCTATTACAAACATAGCCATTTTAACTTTCTTTTTTACAAAGATGTGGACACTGAGAATAGCTAGAGTCTTAATTGCCTTTGTAGTTTCAGCTGCTCATGCTAAGGTGTGTATAGAGCAAATTATCAGCATATATGTGCTGAGTGACAAACAAAATAAGAGGAATTCAGAGAAACTGCTATCACTGTTTACTGCAGGTCTCATCAGTTCATGAGGTAAATGTGCAACTTTCAGGTCCTGTTTCATGGGTCCGTAAACTGTTGTGCTGCAGATTTAGTTTTTAGGGATGAAATAATTACATTTCATTGTGATGGTGATTTTCTTTAGTTTCTTTGACACTAAGGTTACTGTCAACATAGAGAAATTGGCATGACCTTATTGAACATGCTATCAACAGAGATAATCCACAGTTAAAGCTGTTCTACTTTAGGGAAAGCCTGTCATCACACACATACAGGGTGGTTGCTATTCTCTGAGTCAGTTTTAATCCTGTGATCCCTGCCATCAAAAAAGTATATTTTCCCCTTTTGATTTTAATATATTTTCATCTCCTAATATTACTTCTTAATATAACAAGATTTTAGAAACATTTTTCAAGAATGTAGATTCATCAATATAGTGGGCATCCTATGAAGGGTGCCCATCTCCGGTCAGTCATGGAACCTCAAATTACCACCCACAAGTAGCGCTCACATAATAGTCTTATAAATACTTCTGGGATTTCCAGCAGTATCTTTGGCAAGATAAAATTGTCAGTAG